GGGAGGGAGGGAGGGAGGGAGGGAGGGAGAGAGAGAGAGAGAGAGAGAGAAAGTGACAACAACTCGCCCTTTGAGGGCAACCATAATGCTGAGTTTGACACCCCTGATGTACATGGGGGGGGGCTTTGAAAAATATTCAGCAGCTGCAGCTGGCAGGGAGCGCCGTGGGGCCCGAGAGCCGTGTCACCCTGCGTCACGTCCCACACTGCCCTATCAGGACCCCAATTACAGGCAATCCTCGACTTACAACCACTTGGTGAGCGTTGGAAGTTACAACGGCACTGGAAAAAGGGATTTATGACCATTTGTCACAGAACCGTTGCAGCATCCCCGGTGGTCACGGGATCAAAATTCAGATGCTTGGCAACCGTCTCATATTTATGACGGTCGCCGTGCCCCAGAGTCACGTGATCGCCTTTTGCAACCTTCTGACAAGCAAAGTCAGTGAGGGGAGGCCGAATTCAGTCAACAGCCGTGTTACTAACTTAACAATCGTGGCAAGAAAGATGTTAAAATGGGGCAAATCTTACTTAACAAATATCTCACTTAGCAATGGAAATTTTGGGATCAATTGCGGTCGTAAGTCGGGACTACCTGTACAGTTCAAAGTGCTGGGGTTGACTTACGTGGTCTGGCTCCAAATACCTTCAGGATCACCTCCTCTGAATACAGTCTGCCTGCCCTACGTCATCTCGGCCGGCTTCAAGCCAGTCTCAGGGGCTGCCTTCCAATATCTCAGGGGCTGCCCCAAAGAAGAGGCAGTCAAGCTACTCTCCAAAGCGCCTGAAGGCAGGACAAGAAGCAACGGATGGAAACTCATCAAGGAGAGAAGCAAGCTAGAACTGAGGAGAAACTTCCTGACGGTGAGAACAATTAACCAGTGGAACAGCCTGCCTCCAGAAGCGGTGAATGCTCCAACACTGGAAGTTTTTAAGAAGAGACTGGACAGCCATTTGTCCGAAATGGTGTAGGGTTTCCTGCCTGAGCAGGGGGTTGGACTAGATGACCTCCAAGGTCCCTTCCAACTTTATTACTATTACTATTACAAGCACAGCACCACACCCAGCACCTTAATCCGGCCTGCTGAGATCAAGCTATCTCCTTCCAACGGTAACTAGAAAGGACTTATTAATCAAAGGTTTTTGAAGATGCTCCAAGTCGCTGAGATCAGATGCACCTCCAGTGACAATTTGGCTTCCCAGAAGATCTTCAAATCCTGCACTTGATTCTGGCAGGGACCCGGGTGTGGGGGAGTCCACCCATCCAGCAATTCCTACATTCAGTATTTGCCAGCCAGAATTTCCATCTTCTTGAAATTCAGCCTCATCCTACTGGCTCTCCTCCAACGCTTCTCAGCCTGCAAATCCAGCAGATGAAATTCAGATAAAAAGCAGAAAGCCGAGTGTCATCAGCATCCTGATGACATCTCACTCTAAATGTCCAGGTGGCCTTTTCCGGCAGTTTTGTTCAGATATTGCATAGCATGAGGGACAAAAAAACCCATCCCCTAGCCCAGGGGTAGTCAACCTTGGCTCTTTTATGACTCGTGGACTTCAACTCCCAGAATTCCTGAGCCAGCTGTGCTGGCTCAGGAATTCTGGGAGTTGAAGTCCACGAGTCATAAAAGAGCCAAGGTTGACTACCCCTGCCCTAGCACAAGGGTCTCCAAACCTGGCAACCTTTAAGACTTGTGGACTTCAACTCCCAGAATTCCCCAGCCAGACAACTTTAGAGACATGGCTGGCTGAAGAATTCTGGGAGTTGAAGTCCACAAGTCTTAAAATTGCCGAGTCTGGAGCCCCCTGCTCTAGCACTACTTTTGAGGCCCACGGATAGGAACGTCCCAGTTGGCCCAGTATGATAGACTTGTTGAGGAAAGCAAGTTCTTGGAGGAGCAGGAACATGTTGGCAAGATGGAAACAGAGAAGTGATGTGTGCTAATTGGGACCACCTTGAAGCCCTCCGTTCTCAGTACACTTTTGAATCTCGGTAGGCTTTATCAAGACTACTACGGCAATGTAACTGATGTGTTTCTTTTTATTAAGACAATAACTCTTGAGGATAACAACAACAGAGGGGCAGGGAAGTAACTTGAGGCTTACT